TCACCATATTTATGATTTTCACAAGTCAATACTAGATTTTTCTGTAACGTGTTTCTCAAGCTCTGCTTGCAATCAAATTTCATGTACTATTCACTTATAATTAGACTAATAATGTTATTTTGATGGACAAATGTGTTTTTAAGGCATTGTTACAAAGATCAGCACCAGCTGAGTGCTGGTGGGTGACGTCTGTGAATACTAGCGACTCAGGAGGCTGAGATCTGAGGATCACAGTTCAAACTCAGCCTAGGCAGAAAAAAATCCATGAGACTCTTATCTTCAATAAATTACTCAGAAAAAGCTGGAAGTGGCACTGTGACTCAAGTAGTAGAGCTCTAGCCTTGAACAAAAGAAGCTCAGGGACAGCACCCAGATCCTGAGTTCAAGCCCCAGGAAGGGTTAAAAAAAAAAAAAACAAACAAAAATCCCAAACCAACCAAACAAACAAACAAAAAACCCCACAAAGATCAGCACCAACCAATGCTTACATCTCTCTTCATGTCAGTTTTTGTTCTACAGAAGAGTCTAGTCCCTTTCCTGAAAGCTGAGCCAGTAAAATTGGCTTCCTCTATGAAGAAATTCTTCTCTATTATTTTTTTTATTGTGAAAATACCATACAGAGGGGTTACAATTACATGGGCAAGATAATGAGTACATTTCTTATCAAGCATTGTTGCCTCCTCCTTTGTTTCCCCTTTGCATCCCTTCCCACCCCCCCTCCCACCCCCCTGCCAAAGTTGTAAAGTTCGTTTTTTGACATAACGTCTTGTACATCTCATTATTGCAATGGGTCCACCTGTATCCCTATTTAAACGATTTGTTTTTTTCCCTTCCCCTCCACAAATTATACCAACATCAAATACAGTGAAAGCAGTTTCCTAACAAATGGGGCAATGTCTGGAAAAACTTGGAAAAAATTATATTAAGTGAAGTAAGCCAGGCCCAAAGAAACATAGGTCCCATGGTTTCCCTTATTTGCATTATCTAGTATATGTATGAGTCAAGCGGAAAAGGTCAGATAATGTGATGTTAGGAAAATGAACCCTTAGATATGTATTTAAAGGTTTTTTTCTTTCATACATTTGTTTCTAACGCATTTATAAGATTATTTCTTTGTTGCTTTGTATGTCCCTCCCCCACAGTATAACCCCTGCTTTCACTATATTTGATGTCACTATAACTTGTGGAGGAGATGGGGAAAAACAAGTCATTTAAGGATACAGATGGACCTGTTGCAACAATGAGAAGTACAAGTTGTCATGTCGAAAACGAGCTTTACAATGTTGGTGCGGAGTGGGGGGGAGAGGGGGGGAGGATTGGGTGGCAGGGTGGGGGGGGAGGCTGGGAAGGGAGGTGAAGGGTAAACAAAGGAGGAGGCTGCAATGCTTGATAAGAAATGTACGCATTATCCTGCCCATGTAATTGTAACCCCTCTGTACAGTATGTTCACAAAAAAGAAAAGAAAAGAAAAGAAATGTACTCATTGCCTTACTCATGTAAGTGTAACCCCTCTGTACAGCGTCTTTACAATAAAATAAAAAAAATTTAAAAATCGGTTTAAAAGACAAAAAAAAAAAACCAAAAAACAAAAACAAAAAGGGCAATGTCATTCTTTCTGATGGAGGCATAGAATTCCATTGTGTATATATACACAATTTTTTTGATCCATTCATCTACTGAGGGGCATCTGGGTTGGTTCCAGATCTTAGCTATGGTAAATAATGCTGCAATAAACATAGTTGTGCTGGTAGCTTTAGTATGGTCTTGTTTGTGATCATTTGGGTAAATGCCCAGATGTAGGATTGCTGGGTGATAGGGGAACTCTATGTGGAGTCTTTTGAGGAACCTCCATACTGCTTTCCAAAGTGGTTGAACAAGTTTACACTCCCACCAACAATGAAGTAAGATTCCTTTCTGTCCACATCCCCTCCAGCATCTGTTGTTGTTAGAGTTCTTGATTTTTGCTGTTCTAACTGGAGTGAGGTGATATCTCAATGTTGTTTTGATTTGCATTTCTTTTATGGCTAGGGAGGTTGAACATTTTTTCATGTGTCTATTGGCCATCCTTCTTTCATCTTCAGAGAAGTTTCTCTTTAAGTCGTTAGCCTACTTATTTATTGGGCAGTTGTTTCTTAGAGGATTTGTTGTTGGGGAATTTAATTTTTTGAGTTCCAGGTATATTTTAGATATGAGACCCTTGTCTGATGTATGGCTAGTGAAGATCTTCTCCCAATCCGTGGGCTTTCTATTGATCTTGCTATCTATGTCCTTTGCCATGCAGAAGCCCTGCAATTTCATGCAATTCCATTTGTCCAAATTTTCTTTGATTTGTTGTGTTTCTAGGTCTAGGTTGTGTTTCGGCCTGTGCCAAGGAGACCTAGGGTTTCTCCTATTCCATCCTGTAATGTTTTCAGAGTGTCTGTTTTGACTCTGAGGTCATTGATCCATTTGGAGTTGATTCTGGTGCAGGGTGATATATAAGGATCTAGCTTTAGTTTTCTACAAGTGATTAACCAATTTTTCCAGCACCATTTACTGAAGAGGCTGTCTTTCTTCCATTCAATTTTTTTTTAGCTCTCTTATGGAAGATTAGATGGCTATAGGACTGTAGGTTCATTTCTGGGTTTTCAATTCTATTCCATTGGTCCTGAAGTCTGTTCTTGTGCCAGTACCAAGCTGTTTTGATTACTATGACTTTGTAATAGAGTTTGAAATTTGGTATTGGTATTCCTGCAGCACTGTTCTTTCTGTTAAGGATCGTTTTTGCTTTTGGGGGTCTTTTATTGTTCCATATGAATTTTTGGATTGCCTTTTTTATTTCCTTGAAGAATTAGGTTAGAATATTGATAATTATTGCATTGAATTTGTAGGTAGCCTTGGGCAATATTGCCATTTTCACGAGGTTGATCCTCCAATCCAGGAGCATGGGAGGTTTTCCACTTTCTAAGTTCTGTTTTGATTTCCATTTTCAGGTTTTTTAAAGTTTTCATCATAGAGGTCCTTCACTTCTTTGGTTAATTCCTAGGTATTTTTTTTTTTGTGGGGCTATTACGAATGGAGTTGCTTTTCTGATTTCAGCCACACTTTTCTCGTTGTTGGCCCACAGAAAAGCCATTGATTTTTGAATTTTAATTTTATATCCTGCTACATTGCCAATGTTTTGAATCAGCTTGAATAATTTGGGAGTGGAGTCTGTGGGATTCTTTAAATACAAGATCATGTCATCTGTAAAGAGGGAGAGTTTTTCTTCATCTTTCCCTATTTGGAACCCTTTTATGTTTGCATCTTGAAATTCTTCTCTACTGATGGGAGTGTGACTGCTCATTTAAATTGTGATTTTCCAAAATCAAAAGTACTCAATGCAATGCTTATAATTCATGTGTTTTAAAGAGCTAAAACTCCACTCACTATCAAGAGTCAGGAGCTAATGTGAAAGATTTAGGCAGATCTGACCACTGCATCAATTGTCTATCAGAAGGGCTCTAGAGAAACAAATTGTTCTTTCTGATGGAGGCATAGGATTCACACACACACACACACACACACACACACACACACACACACACACACACACACACACACATATATGTACCACATTTCTCGATCCATTCATCTACTGTGGGGCATCATCTGGGTTGGTTCCATATGTTATCTATGGTGAATAATGATGCAATAAACATAGTGTGCTGGTAGCTTTGTTTTTCTTTTACTTTTTAAATAAACATGAAATCCTGAATTCAAAGCCCACTAACACATACACACGTGGGCACACACATACACACACATCTTACACTATACTATGAAGGAAATAATATTCTAAATATAATTAATTACTAATAAATTTGTAAAGGAAATACAATAGGTATGATGCAAAAAAATAGGACATAGAAACATTGTTTGAAATTTGCTCTTTGAACTCTGTTCCAAAGGATTAAAAGGATTTGGAATTGTGTAAATATGGGAGGGAGGGCATTTCAAGCAGAAAGAATAACAAATGTACAATGAATAAAAAAATTAAATCAAGATTGACAGGATCAAGTGAATGAGAGAAATTAGTACAGAATTTTGTGTAGTGGAAACTAAATCAAGTCTAAACAGTTAACCTGAATTTAGGGAACTAATGAAACACTTCAGAGAATAATTGATGGTATAGAAAACCTCTGGCATATAAGATGACTTTGTTGAAACATTTTGTGTGTTTGTGTGTGTGTTTGTGTGTATGCATGATGGCTGGTGGGAATCCACCTCAATGGACACTTAGTAATAAGGAGTACTTTTTCTAAAACAAAATCAAACCACAGGCAGTTGTAGAATTACCACTTCAGTGGAATCAACATTTTCCTTCATGTGTGAAACCAAGTTTTCCATTCATTTTTTACCCTGGAAGGAAAGAAATGAGATACTGAGATGAAATGAAAAATAAATGGAATCATCCCAGGTTAGTTGAAGAAGGAAAGGGCACTTAGAATTCCTGGATCTTAATTTGAGAATAATAATCTTACCTAATTTTATATAAAAAATGTTTGTAAAAATAGAGAAAGTAGTAAATTCTTTTTTTTTTTTTTTTGGTCTGTTGTGGATCTTGAACTCTGGGCTTGGGCTTGGGTGCTGTTCCTCAGCTCTTCAGCTCAAGGCAAGTGCTCTACCGCTTGAGCCACAGCGCCACTTGCAGTTTTATAGTGGTTTATTGGAGATAAGAATCTCACAGACTTTCCTGCCTGGGCTGGCTTTGTACCTTGACCCTCAGATCTCAGCCTCCTGAGTAGCTAGGATTACAGGCATGAGCCACCAGCGCCCGGCTAGTAGTAAATTCTTTCCTTTTGCTTATGTGGTGCTGAGGAATCGAACCCAGGGCCTCATGCATACAAGGCAAGTGCTCTACCACTGAGCCACCTTCCCAGCCCCGGCTAGTAGTAAATTCTTAATAAACATTTCCTCTGCCTCTCAACCCACTGGTTGAAACCAAGGATGCTATGGACAGACAGCCTCCATGTGCTTACATGGGTGCTCTGCAGAATTCACAAGGGTTTTCATAAGTCTGTCCATGTGTGTCATACACTGCTTTGCAGATCTTGGGGCATGGTGGTCCATCTGTAGCTGTTTTCTGCGTGTAGTTGCTGCAAAAGGCCTGTCATTTAAATGAAGACTTTTTATTTCATGAATAATAACATTAAAGGGTTAATTCCATTTTTGAGGCAGTGACCATTTGTTGCTTGTTTATCTCAGCTAGCAGAGCTACACGTGGTGGTAATCCAAATACCTGGTGTGTGCCTTTATAAGCCCTGCAAATCCTTAGCTCTGGGCTCTCCTCCTAGGCTCCCCTGTGTCAGAGTGTAGGACGAGGGTTGAGCTGTCTAAATAAAACCTTAAAACAGCTGTAAAGTCTGACTCTTGGTGGTCTTCTTGGTGGTGTCCTGCGACTTAGGCTCAACATATTAGTGGGGCCTCATCCGGGATACCCCCAAAGACTCCCGAGACCTCATATTCCGAAGGTAAAACAGCGCTGTCAATTTGTCTTTGTTAATTTGTCTTGCCCTGTCGTTCCTCTGTTTGTCTGTTTTACTTTCATTTTCCTTTGTGAGGCCGGCCGCTCCGATTCGTATTGTATAAAGGGTTGTTGAAGCGGATGCACTTGCATGACAACCCTGGAGGAACTGGGAGATGTCCCAGATCCTCTTGTGAAGGGGGGTCCTTGGAACACTGCCATGAGAATTGTGGGGCGGAGGTCGGTTTGGGGTTGGGTTGGAACTGACCAAGAAGGCCTCCTAACCGAGGCCCAACTTGCCCACTGTGGGTCCGCTCCTTCTGCTTCCCCATTACAGGAGTCAGCGGACCAATTAGGGAGATCTCCACTTCGTAAGCTTTTTTTTTTTTTTTAAACTGTCAGGCCTGAGTGTGTTTTGTTTGTCTACTACCATTTATTGTTGTCTGGACTGTATGACTGATGGGACTGGAAGCCATGGGCAACATTCCATCTAGCCCCCTAGACTTACAAAAAGAAACTAAGAAAGAGGAAAAGAAATTGTACCCCCGGTTTTTCTGGGAGATAACTTGGAAGAAGAAATGTTTCTTCCCCCATACTCCCCTTCCCAGGTTCCTTCTGCAGAGCCTGAGAATGATCAAGAGGAGAAGAGAGCTATAGAACCAGCAGCCGAACCCTCGGCACTTGCCCTTAAAGTTTCTGAGGGGCCAGTCACTCGATGATGCAGTGGGATCAGCCCCCCTTCTAATGCAGCTGTTTTTCCCTTACGCACCATAGGTCCTGTGGATGTGGATGGTCAACAGCAACTCCAATATTGGCCATTTTCTACCAGTGATCTATACAATTGGTGCACCCAAAATACCCCCTTTTCTAAGAAACCCCAGAATTCAATTCTTTTGCTTGAAGCTATTCTCTTCACACATCAGCCCACTTGAGATGTTTGTAGTCAGCTTTTATAGGTCCTTTTTACCACCAAAGAGAGAGACCGTATCTAAGATGTGGCACGGAAACATATCCCTGGCCCACAGGAGCGCCCATCATGGATCCTGCCCTGATCACTGCCTATTTTCCTGCCTATTTTTCAGACTAACATGGGACTACAATACGATTGAAGGTAGGAAGTGACTCCTTGTCTATCGCCAGGCTCTGTTGGCAGGTCTCAAGGCGGCGGCTCGCTGACCTACTAATATGGCCAAAGTTTATGATGTTAGACAGGGAGGAAGTGAAAGTCAAACAGCATATCTTGAGCGGCTCATGGAAGCTTTTAGTCAATATAGCCCATATGATTTTGAGACCCAGCAGTCAGCTCAGATGATTATGTTTGCCTATATAAATCAAGCTGCACCAGACATAAAGTGAAATTTGCTGGCTCTAGACAGACTTGGTGAAAAGTCTATTAGGGATCTAGTAGTAGCGTCAGAAAAGGTTTACAATAAGAGAGAGTCAGAGGAGCAAAGACAGAAAAGGAAGGACAGAGAATGTGAAATTGAGTGTGAAAAGAGAGACCTGGCCAAGGAAAAGATGCTAGACTTGTTGGACTCGCCACTATCGCATGCCGAGCATACTTGGTTCACAGACAGAAAGTTTCATTCAAGATGGAAAAAGGTATGCGGGTGCAGCAGTCACCATGGACACTGAGATAGTGTGGGCAGAAGCACTCCCCCAGGGAACGTCTGCACAAAGAGCAGACTAGTGGCACTCACAAAAGCCCTACATATAGATGGGAAAAGGGAAGAGACTAAACATTTACACAGACAGTCAGTATGCTTTTGCCACCGTGCATGATAATGGAGCCATTTACCAAGAGAGGGGGCTGCTGACAGCTGAGGGAAAGAATATTAAAAACAAATAAGAAATTTTAAGCCTCATCCGGGCCATATGGGAACCAGCAAATATTGCCATTATGCACTGCCCTGGCCATCTAAAGGTAATTGATTATATAACCAAAGGAAATAACTTGACCGATCAGGCAGCTAAGGAGGCGGCCCTCCAGCCCAGAGCGGAAGTACTGACTCTAGTAGACCAAGGGCCACGAACTTTGCATCCTGAGCCTCAGTACTCCCAAGAAGACTTGGAGTGGATAAAGAAAATTCCCATGGCCTATAAACCTCTGGACAGAGAAGGAAATAAAGACTGGTAGAAAACTGGTGAGGGGAAACTTATCTTGCCACAAAGATTGGGCAAGGGGATTCTTAAGAGAATCCATCAGGCTTCTCACATGGGAACCCAAAGAATGCAGGACTTGCTCTGACACTCAGAAGTAAAAATTAGGCAAGGAAATCAACTCATTGAGGACATTGTTAAAAATTGTAAAGCCTGTCAGCTCACCAATGCCCCCAATCAACCAGTTACAAAAGGAGCCTTTGTGGAGATAGGCCAGATGTGTATTGGGAAATAGACTTCACAGAAATTAAAACTGGAAAATTTGGATATAAATATTTGCTAGTTTTTGTAGACACCTTTTCAGGATGGGTTGAGCAAAGCATGAGATTGTGAATGTCGTGGCTAAGAAGATCCTGGAATAAATCTTACCCAGGTATGGCTTCCCATCCACCATTGGGTCAGACAATGGACTGGCCTTCATCTCAAAAGTAAGTCAGGGAATAGCTGCGGCACTGGGGATGGGTTGGAAATTGCACTGTGTTTATAGATCCCAGAGTTCAGGGCAGGTAGAAAGAATGAATCGGACTCTAAAAGAGACCTTAACTAAATTGGCTTTGGAGACTGGCGCAGACTGGGTATCGCTCCTTCCTTTTGCCCTGTTTAGAGTAAGAAATTCACCCTATCAGCTTGGCTTTACTCCTTTTGAAATAATGTATGGACATCCTCCACCCATTATTCCTAGCCTTCAGACTGAATTGCTTGCTGATTTGAGTGATACTGAATTTCTATGTAAACTTGACTATGTATAACTTGTCCACAAAAGTTGTGTGGCCCCAGCCTAGAGCATTATATGATTCTGCTTCTACTCCTACTCCCCATTCGTTTAAACCAGGGGGCTGGGTGCTTGTTTGAAGGCACAACTTGAGATCTCTGGAACCATGGTGGAAGGGACCTTACATGGTGCTACTGGCTACACCCACTACCCTCAAGGTGGACAGCTTTGCTGCTTGGATCCCACTGCTCCAACGCCAGACTGGCAGAACCTTTTGCCCTAGACAACTGTGGGGAAACATGGGAAGTCTCCAAGCATCCTACCCAACCACTCTGGGTAAGCCTCAAGAAAAGAAAAATGGACTGATTGTTATTGGTATTGTTGTTTGATAATATGGCTAAGGTCAGAGAGGGAGTATGCCCATTCAAGATCGAGAGCTGTTGGAGTTTAGTTTTGGGTTGGAGCCACAAGATTGTGTCTTAGGGCCATAAGTCAAGGGGGGAATGAAGGGTTAATTCTTTTTTTTTTTAATTGTGAAAATACTGTACAGAGGGGTTACAATTACATGGGCAAGATAGTGAGTACATTTCTTATCAAGTATTGTAGCTTCCTCCTTTGCTTACCCTTCCCATCCCTTCCCATCCTCCCTCCCCCCTACCCAATCCTCCCGCCCCAAGTTGTAAAGTTCATTTTCCACATGACATCTTGTACTTCTCATTGTTGCAACAGGTCCACCTGTATCCTTATTTAAACGACTTGTTTTTCCCGTTCCCCTCCACAAATTATACCGACATCAAATACAGTGAAAGCAGGGGTTATACTGTGGTGGAGGGACATACAAAGCAACAAAGAAATAATCTTATAATTGCATTAGAAACAAATGCATGAAAGAAAAATACATTTAAAATACATATCTTAAGGTTCATTTTCCTAATATCACCTTATCTGACTTTTTCTGCTTGACTCATACATATACTAGATATTGCAAATAAGGGAAATCATGGGACCTATGTTTCTTTGGGCTTGGCTTACTTAATATAATTTTTTCCAAGTCTTTCCATTTCCTAACAAATGGGGCAATGTCATTCTTTCTGATGGAGGCATAGAATTCCATTGTGTATATATACCACATTTTCTTGATCCATTCATCTACTGAGGGGCATCTGGGTTGGTTCCAGATCTTAGCTATGGTAAATAATGCTGCAATAAACATTATATAAATAATGCTGGTAGCTTTAGTGTGGTCTTGTTTGTAAACATTTGGGTAAATGCCCAAAAGTGGGACTGCTGGGTCATAGGGGAGCTCTATGTGGAGTCTTTTGAGGAACTTCCATACTACTTTCCAAAGTGGTTGAACAAGTTTACACTCCCACCAACAATGAAGTAAGGTTCCCTTCTGACCACATCCCCTCCAGCATCTGTTGTTTTTAGAGTTCTTGATTTTTGCCATTCTAACTGGGGTGAGGTGGTATCTCAATGTTGTTTTGATTTGCATTTCTTTTATGGCTAGGGAGGTTGAGCATTTCTTCATGTGTCTATTGGCCATCCTTCTTTCTTCTTCAGAGAAATTTCTCTTTAAGTCATTAGCCCACTTATTTATTGGGCAGTTGTTTCTTTGAAGATTTGTTGTTGGGGGATTTAATTTTTTGAGTTCCAGGTATATTTTAGATATGAGACCCTTGTCCATTGTATGGCTAGTGAAGATCTTCTCCCAATCCGTGGGCTTTCTATTGATCTTGCTAGCTATGTCCTTTGTCATGCAGAAGCTCTGCAACTTCATGCAATCCCATTTGTCCAAATTTTCTTTGATTTGTTGTGTTTCTGGGTCTCTATTAAGAAAATTTCGGCCTGTGCCAAGGAGACCTAGGGTTTCTCCTATTCCATCCTGTAATGTTTTCAGAGTGTCTGCTTTGACTCCGAGGTCTTTGATCCATTTGGAGTTGATTCTGGTCCAGGGTGATATATAAGGATCTAGCTTTAGTTTTCTACAAGTAGTTAAGCAATTTTGCCAGCACTATTTACTGAAGAGGCTGTCTATCTTCCATTCTATTTTTTTAGCTCCCTTATCGAAGATTAGATGGCTATAGGTTTGTAGGTCATTTCTGGGTTTTCAATTCTATTCCATT